TCTTTTGTAATGGCTATGTCAATTAAGAACGTCAATTAACCTAACAATGTTGATGCCACCTACTCAAATCATCCATGTTGATTCCTCACACATGAAATTCATAAGAAAACCTAATAAATGTTGATTCCTCACACAATTAACAGATTTTCCAGCATTAGGGTTAGGGTGTTAAGCAATTGATACATTTATTCCATTCCTGGCAATTAACGTAACAAATATTCTTACCGTGATCTAGGGTTCAAGATATATTTTCCAATCATACCTCAAACAATCAAGAATAAATCATTCCAAAGCATAAATGATAAGAATAACAACATCAAAGCATAGATTAATATATCAAAATATCACCATGATACAAAAGAGTTCAAAGGAAGTGCACCGAATCCTAAGAAAATGAAGTTAGCCACTCATGTTGGTCATGCTTGCTTTTCTCAAAACACAACTTATCTTTTTATAAGAGAATTTGGGTCGGGCCTCGCATCATTTATTCGCTTAAGCGCTCTTCTTTCTTTCAATTTTACTCTAATTATGCTGACAATTATGCTCCTTCCTTTTGTATCAAGGTATTCTCGAATTCATCCTATATTGGGAGAAAAATATATTAGAATTAACATAAGTTAAGTAGTTTCATAACAATTCAAGACATAATTATATCAACTTTTTACCACTTAACAAGAATACATGTTATAAATATGAATGAAGTGTGTTAAATGTAATTATGTTCTTTGAAAAATATTGTGTTGTGATATAAAATTTACTTAGGGGTATCTTCATGTACATAGTGTTCTATGTATGAATATTAATTTGGGACTTGAGAATATATAACTCTATAAATAATTGGAATCACATAGATGAAAAAATTAAATGGTGAGAGTTAAAAGATGTTTAATGACTTAGATTGTAGTGTGAAAAAAAAAATCGTGTTTTGATAAGTTATTTATAAATTTATCTTGGTCACACGTGTATGTATATACCAAATTGAGTACCCTTGTGTTAAACACTTAGGGAGATGTGGTATGACAGGTGCATATTTTTTATGTCTAATTCAATATCTAGACTGCTCAAAGTTGTCAAGTGTTTGTGTGACATGAATGTGAGTTTATGTGTTAAGTGATTTGATGTGATATATGAAAACTTACCTTGTGTATTTTGTAAGAGCATCTCCAACGAGAGTTGCTACAAAGTTGCTTAGGAATAAAGATGAATATTTTATGGTGAGTCTCGCATCTAAGTTGCTTAAAAGTTGAGAAAGTTGCTTAGATAAACAATTATGATCAAGTTTTAAGTAACTCAACTGTGAAACCTATAATAAAATATTCAATTTCCTTTGGAGATGCTCTAAGTTCCTTTAAAACTATGATGATGTGTATTTGTACCAGAGCATATGATACATGTGGTAGACCCATATATATGAATTTATAAATAATATAAATTTTTACATTATTTTACTTTTGAGGCGATATATATATATATATATATATATATATATATATATTTCTTATAAATTTATATTTTAAATTACATTATACATTTTAATTATAAATATATTATATAAACATTTTTGGATGATTACACTTTTTATTTTCTTTCAAAACCTATCCAAATAATTAAACAATATTTTACTAGTGGTATTGTTAAAAAATATTTTACCATAAAGTAATTTTAAAAAATATATAATAAAAATCTTAAAAATATATGATCAATAAAAAAACAAAATTATATATATATATATATATATATTTATTGTAAATATTGAGAAAAGTAATGTAACATTTTGAAAATAATTATATATATTAAATTATTTTTGTGATTAAAATTAAAATAAATAAAATTTATTTATTATGAATTTTAATCATTAAATTTATCTTATGTCACGGCGATGCCAAAATACTTAAAAAACACATACTAAAATAAGGACTATAGATTACTTTTAGTGTTATTTTTTTTTCTCTTAAATATTATGAAATTAATTATTGAAAATTTGTGTATATCAGTATTTTGTAAATTGTCACTCACACACACACACACACATATATATATATATATATATATATATATATACATATATATATATTATATATATATATATATATATATATTATTTAAGTGAGCATATTTTTAACGAAAATTATTTAAAAGAGTTATTATAAATTTAAAAAAATATTATTTTAACGTGATTGGATGTATACAATTATTTAAAATAAATGAAAAATATTTATATAACCAATTATATACTTAAGGTTTATATTAAATAATATTTTTATTTATAAAAGTTATTCTAAACAAATTTTATTGAAAATATCTCATAATATAATTTATTATATAAGTTATTAAAAAAATATAATCCTTCATCTCTAAAAGATAAATTAATATTTGGTAAGAAAAAAGTATTCCCCCATGAATACAAATTAAACCTTAACTATTAGTTTTGAAGATAATATTATTAAAATGAAAATAAATAAATGTGTAAGTGTGTTGACTTTAATTACACATTCAAACAAAATTCTTAAATTTATTTAATATATAACTTTGAGATTACATGTATATTCCGGCAAGATTATCTCAGAAAGTAATATTTAATCCTCTAAAATAAAATTTTTGAACTAAATAAATTCACTCTGTAATATCCCAAAATATTTACTCACAATTGGTTATACACAAGATTTACTCATTTGTATATGATTACCTAATTTTTTTCTTTATAAATATTATTAAAAAAAAACAAGATGTATTGTTTTGTTCAACCAAATTATTAATAGATGAAACAGTAGATTACAAATGAGGCCCAAGGTGATGCATTTCATGCACATATTTTTACATCTTGCACCATAATCTTCTCATTCGTTTCAAACCCAACCCCAACCATTATTTTTCTCTCTCCTTTTGTAGCTTTCACTTTTGCTTGTCTGGTTCCGATTTAGGGCACCCGAACTCGGTCTTTGACTCAGGACTAGCTCTGATCTGCTCCTCAGGTACTCTCTCTCCCTCTCCGAGTTGATCCCGACTCGTCCTAACTTCGATCTACTATGCTTTCCACTTCATCATTTTCTTCCTTTAGATCCTCCAAACTCTTTTTCCTCACTCCTAACTCTACACGCTTTTCTTTAACTTCTTCAGCTTCAAATTTCGGCCTAGGTTATTATTCCTAATTCGATTCTGCGAAGTGAAACCTCTCTATGTGTTGCCAATGATTGTTAGTGTGGTTTCTTTGTGTAATCTTTTACATACTGTTTGGCTTGTTTGGTCTACGATGCGAATGGATTGAGGAATACGCAATTGAAAATTTAACGCGGTTAAGTTTTTGGAACTTGTTGTTTCTCTTGATTTACCACTGTGTCGGCAATGGTTTCTGCTTCGAATTTATTTTTTCCCGCCTTGGTATATTTACGAAGAAATGAGATTTATAGTTGGAAATTAGTTTAGATTTAGGGTTTGTATATCGTTACTACAGCTATAAGCTTAGCGTAGTACGTCCTTTTTTAAGCAGTGAACTGGGGAGTTGAGATGTGCGTCGTGGTTTTTAAATTTAGTCTGGAGTCGAAGTTTTTCTAGGAACTGCAAATTGTGGCTGATGTGATGCGGGTGTTGAACTATTGTGACATGAGTTATGACGAATGCATCTGTGGTTTTTATTTTCTGAAACGAAATCTGGAACATTTCGAATGTTGTGGTTGCATATTGTTTGTGGCTTTTTTGTATCAATAGGAATCACTTCACAACTGTGGTTGTGGACAATGCTGCAGCTACATTATTGATCTATTCTACTTGAAACTACAAATTATACTTTGATGCCAGAAAGTAAATAGAGTGAAGAATCAATATCTAATAAAGTTTCTATTTTGCCTGCAATTTCACAAAATATCAATCATTGCGACGAAATTGTGGATGCAACTTAAGATCTTGTTGAGAATAAATATTATAGAGACGAACAATATAAAGGGCTTTTTATGTTGTTACCCAATCACGGACCATCGTTAACGATAAATTTGTTAGCTTTTCTAATAATGACCAGAAAAACCATACTTGATGATGTTTGATTGGACAATAATATACAAACTTTTACCCTAATAGTGCATGTTTATTAAACTCAGAGTGTTTAGTATGTTTCAAGTTTTGCCGCTTTCGATTATTTGTCTGGGAAGTTTGCAGAAGTTTCCATGTTAATCATATGGAAATAACCGGGATTTTTATAGTAGCATGTTTAGTTACTAGGGATTAAATGGAAGAGACTAGATGACTTTCATATTAGTTTGGAGAACGGAACGGGATTCTAATGAGAGAACTTGTCAAATGTGACTTCCTTTTTCATTTTCGTTAGTTTGTTTTATTATTGGATACTCAGAAGTTACTGTACTGTATTGTGTCTAATATTGTCTTTTACGTCATGTTATTTTAGGTTGTTAAGGAAACACTTCTCATATTGTTCTGAGGACTTTGAATACAAAGGAGGACCATTTTCAGCAAGGGATGAGTTTTGGCTTGACCTTTTGAAATTCATGCCATGTCGGGGTTACTTAATGTATTCCCTCATGTCCCAAAAAGCTTCTTCCTTTCCCATCGTTATTTTATTTTTTTTGTCTCTTGGCGATTATTATCAGGAATTGATATTTCCCTTCACTCTTTTTCTTGGTCACACCTACTAAATTGTTGTAATTGTATTTTGATTTATTTTAAGAAAGATTTTTAACTTTTCTCTTGCTAAACTGAAGTAAATGACTTATATTGGGATTTAGATGATTTCTGTTCTCAGTTGAGTTACACATTTCAGCTTGATATATTTTCATTTCATTCACGTTGAACACATCAACATTTCTAATCATTGTTCTGTTTGCTTATGATCCATTGGATACACGCATGCTAGCATGGTACTTTTGATTTTCTTAAAGACTACATGGTTAAAATATTTTGCCACTCATCAACATTCCATTAAGGCTTTTAGCACATACCGTTTTTAGAATGTTTTGCCAAAATTTTGAGGAAAGAGATTTCGGAGAGTTAAAATGTTTGACAAGCAAAAGGACAGGGACATCCATTCGAAGACTGTAATATGATTGGAGCATAATAGTAGGATGATCAGGAGTCCTCAATGCATCTTTACTATTCGAAGACTTTTAATCTTGTTTCCTAAAATATTTTTGCCAGAATCTTTTGCATGCTTGTTTACTACTGGCAGTTGCTTCTATTGATGGTTAGCAAATTACCAGTTGTCAGGAAATGCTTATAGTTTTTAAAATTCAACCTGTTCTATAATGTTATACATACTTAAAACACACAAACACACACACACACACACACACACACACACACATATATATATATATATATATATATATATATATCGTAAGATGTTGATTTCCCTGTGCCACTTGTTATAGCATGCCTATCTTAATTTTTAATCCAAGCAGAGTTTTCCTTGCAGTCTTCTCTGAATGGATCTGCTTCAAATCTTCCAGATGGGGCCGGACGATCTTTTGCTACATCGTTTTCTGGTCAGTCTGGTGCAGCCTCCCCAATTTTTCATCACACTGGTGGGGAGCTTTTACTGGATTTACTTCATTTCATCATTCTGTGTAGTTATATAAGTGATAGGTTCTTGCTGCAGGAGCTATTCAAGGATTGCACAATATTCACGGGACCTTTAGTGTTCCCAACATGCAAGGTTCACTCACATCGAGAAACTCAAGTATAAATAATGTACCATCAGGGGGTGTTCAACAACCCACTGGAAGCCTTTCTAGTGGAAGATTTACATCCAACAATCTACCAGTTGCATTGTCTCAGGTATGTGTTGTGTCATGTGCTCTAGGTTTTAGACAGTTTGAGGGTTACAATTTAAATTTTGTTTCTACTCACCTCTTCATTAAGTCATTTTATTTTTGTTATCATGCTGCTTACTGGTATTATGCCTGTCTCCATTATATTGGCAGCTATCTCATGGAAGCTCTCATGGACATTCAGGAGTCACCAATAGAGGAGGTATAAGTGTTGTAGGAAACCCTGGATTTAGTAGTAGCACAAATGGAGTTGGTGGGTCTATTCCTGGCATTCTTCCAACATCTGGTGCAATTGGTAACCGAAATGCTGTTCCAGGATTGGGAGTATCCCCAATTTTGGGAAATGCAGGTCCACGAATTACAAGTTCTGTGGGAAACATGGTTGGCGGAGGGAATATCGGAAGGACTGGTGGAGGATTGTCCGTGCCTGCCCTTGCGTCCCGTCTAAATTTGGGTGCAAACAGTGGATCTGGTGGTTTAGGTATGCAAGGACAAAATCGATTAATGAGTGGTGTGCTTCCACAAGGTATGCATTTGTATTGTTAAAAGTGCATTCATGGTGTGAGAGTAATTTTTTTCCAAGGGATCAATGTTGAGATTTTTCTTTGTATTTAGTGTTAATTTCATAGAGAGATTTATATTTGATTTTGTTGCTAACTTTGACCTTGTTGATGTAGTTTTTTACATGTAAAATTTTGTTCAGCAAAATACTACACTTTTCTTTAGTGATAACTTTTCCTGGCTTTCTAGCTCTATTTCTTGGGTGCTGTTTTATGGTGCTTTCTTTGGAGCATTAATTGACGAGTTTATTGATTTTTATAAGTTACCAATAATGATGTGTTGGGTAACGGGTTTAAACCTAAAAAGTCTCTGCATATGCACATGGGGAAGGCTGCATAAAATGACCCTCCCCTATACCTTTGCGCAACGAGGAGCCTTAATGCACCATGGTGCATTAGTTTAGTCTCATAGAAGTTGCATCAGGGATGTGTCAACACAATCTGTGTTTTTAGCTGATGTCGTGGTCACTGCTGTTAAATATCAGCCGTAATAATTCTATAGTGCAGTGGGTTTCAACAGAATTGCAATTGTGATGGCATCACCTTTGGAAGCCGTAAGAAACATCATTATGGCCTGCTTTTCTCCTTATCTGCCAAAACTCAAAATACTCTATTGTTCTTCTCCAGTCCAGCCCCCTTGTATATCAAGGCTGTTTACCAAGCATTTTCTATTTCCCTAGTGAATGTTAAATCGTTTTTTGTGTTGTGAAAAGCATTGGGATAATATTGTCATTGGTGTGAGGCTACAAGTGCCAAAATTTCTGCGGTGCAATTTAAGTAGTTAATGACAATGTTATCAGTCGGCTGGACTGGCTGATCCAACTGGAACCGATGAATTTTCTGAGCAGTTTATTCAATTGTTTGTGCAACTGACCTGGTATAACTTGATTGACTTGGCTTGTTTTTTCACAAACTGGTGACCCAACAGTATATAATAATAAACTGGCTGGGTCAGTGATGTTACGTTTTACAAAATTGAACTGTCCATTCTCAAGGCTGATCTACATGCGCCCCAAAGCTGCTGCAATTTTGGTCTTCAGGGGATTGAAACCATGTCCCACTTGTGAGATAAGAGGAGAACAACCACTGAACTAATGAAAATAACTTGATAATATACAGAAAGTATAACTTAACTATATAATCTTGTTCATATAATTTAATATTTCATATATTTGTTCATGTGTTTCAATTAGGGTATCTCCAATAGAAACAATTCATGAGTTGTTTTTCACCTTGAAAAATATAAAATATAAATTTCTTGTGTAACATTATACTTAAGCAACTCAAGTAATTTTGCTCCAATAAAAATTCACTTAAGAAAATTTAAAGAACCAATTCTCTCTTCTCATTACTTCCTTTTATTCATTTTTGTAAGTTGTTTGGTGAAACAACTAATAATATTATAAGAAACTTACCATTCCACCTAGAATTCTTGCAATAGAAAATTGTTTCAAGCAACTAATATAAAAATTTCCCATTAGAGATGCTCTAAGTGTTTTACTGGTTGAACCAATGACCCACCAACCTAGTTCCTTGACCTATTTGATGACAGATCTTGTTAATGATATTGGTTAATAGTAACACAATAGTGACGAAAATCGGATAGTAGGAGTGGCTTTTGTCATTCTTGGGGTGTTGTGTATATATTTGTTGAGCAACTTAATACAAATTTGTTTCAAGATAATGTCTAACATTCAATTCAGCCCACTATTCTGTTTTTGTATTTTTCTTATTTATTTCCTTATTCTTTAAGTCTTTTCAATTAAGCCCCCTATTAATTATTTTTTGTTACAGTTTTCCTACTGTATGGGTTTTAAGAATCTGCCCCTAATAAAGCCTCTTTCTTCCTACTTTAACTCCTCACTTTTTTCTAGAACATAATATTTTTATTTTCCCTTAGTATGTTCCTCATTCTCAGGAGAACGTGAGAACAGAAGACTTTAGGTTCCCCTTTCTCTATTTTTTTTTGGGTTTTTCACTTAGTTTGTTTTCTAGATTTTTCAATAGGAGCCATCTCACTATAGTGCTTTTGGGGGGTAGCCACTCCGTGCTGCTGTGGGGGGGTTCCCTCAGGATGCAATTTGGGCATTGCAGCCGTTGCTTTGAACAAGGAAGCCACCAAAATAGAAACTCCTAATTTTTCTGAGTAGGATCCTCCACTATTTTCCTTGTTGAGATTCTGAGTGGCAAGATTTTGAGCATTTTGGGTTTTTCTTTCAATTGCTATGTGTATGTGAAAATGAGAGAGAACGAGATACACATAGTGAATTTTATGTATTGAATTACAAGAGCATGCAGTTAATCTAATCAACATATCACAAGAATATAGCCTTCCCTATTTAAAATGTTTCCATAAGAGGGCGAGCCCTGTATTGGGGCTCTAATCCAGAAACAGTTTCTTTACATTGCAAGGAGTCTTCCATATTGGGGTATGTTAGTTTTACTCTAATTAAACATTTCCAGGGTTTAAATTATGTGTAACCCAGCCATATATATTGCAGCTGTGGGCATTGTGGCTGCTGCAAACATGAAATTATTATATGATTGCACTGCATGCGAAGAATTTTATAGATATTATAATTATTGGTATATCTTTAATTTATAAGATTGTAATTCATTTTAAGGCTTCCTACCATTTGTCTTCAGATGTCTCACGTGTTCCTGTGACATCCGACGGAATCAAACCTATTTAACCAACCATCTACATTTAGAATAGAAGATTGAAGTTTGAATACTCACTTTTTCAACAAAAAGTGGTATAGCGTAGTGGTGTTGAAGTTCTGTTGTTACCCAATTATGGTTCGGACACGGTTGCCTTGTGGCAATTCATGTGATTTAAATTTTCACTGTAATTGTGGACTGTTGTGAGGTTGCTGTACCTCTGGAACAACAATATTGCGGCTGCAACATTGCAGTCTACAATTTAGAATCCTCAACAGAAATAAACTTTTAATGAGGACAAAGGCTGACAATTGGAAAATAGGAGTTCTGATGATAATTCGCATCTGTCTTCCATATTCATTCTTGCCAATATTTTCATCTGCTATGCTACAGGGCAGGCATATTGCACCATTGGGGGGTGGGGTTATAGTGGGATAAGTCACATTGTTCTGCTATATTGAGAATCATGGACAAGACTGGTGGACTGTTGTCCTCAACAATAGGAGCAAGTCTACAATTTCGCATTTTTAAAAACTTGATGGTGTGGGTCGTTATTTCCTGCCTCAAATTTGTCGGCTCATGTATCACTATGCCATTTCTTTTATCTGGAGATATAAAAAGAGTTTCTTGATGTGATGTGAGAATGTTTTGTCTATGGTAGCAAAATCTGATTGAAAACAACTTAAAAAACTGCTTCTCATTTGGGATTTATATGAATTGCAAGATCAACTTGTTAGTATGTTTGTGCATCTTGAATATGTAAATTCCCCCTTAAATTGAGTTCACTGTGGTAAGAAACATCTTTCTTGATCCAGGATCTCCACAGGTAATTTCAATGCTAGGAAATTCTTATCCTAGTGCTGGAGGTCCACTTTCCCAAAGCCATGTTCAAGCAGTAGGTAACTTGAACTCGATGGGAATGTTGAATGATGTGAATACCAATGACAGTTCACCTTTTGACATCAATGACTTTCCTCAGCTGACAAGTCGTCCGAGTTCTGCTGGAGGACCTCAAGGACAGTTGGGTAAGAGAAGATAAATAGTGATTTATGCTTGGTATATTTGTGCTCCTAAAACAATAAATAATGGTATAAAAAAAAATTTCAGGTTCTTTACGAAAACAGGGGCTTGGTGTCAGTCCCATTGTTCAACAAAACCAAGAGTTTAGCATTCAGAATGAAGATTTTCCAGCTTTACCAGGATTCAAAGGTGTAGTATGTATTCTATTTTGAAGGTTTAAGAGTGTATTCTCTGAGGGAGAGGTTGTTGAATGAAATTTATACTCTATCCATTAGGAAGGTCTTCTGGATCAGTATGCATGTTATTATTCTGCACTTTTATTATTATCTGTATTATTTCAGTACTTGCTTTTGACATGCATATGCACCCCTGCTTTCTGTTTCAAGTTAAGCATCTATATTATCTATTATATTTAGTGAGTATGGTTGCTTGTCTCTTAATTTTGCATGGGAATTAACTACTTTTAAGGTTTGCTCTGAAGAATCTTTGATTGCCTTGCTGAAAATTACAGCTTTGTCTAATTATTTTTAGTTACCTGTGTTGATTTACAGAATTCTACTTGAGTCAAAGTTGCTTAATTAGTTTCAATATTTGTTTCTTACCATATTCGTTGTGCAGGCGGTAATGCAGATTATGCTATGGATATGCACCAGAAAGAACAACTCCATGACAATGCTGTACCTATGATGCAATCCCAGCACTTCACCGTGAGCTACATGTTATAAAAGATTTAGAAATCTTATATAAATATTCTTTTGTATAATATTGATGGATCTAAAATCTGTTATTAAATATCTAGAAATAGTATCTATATGCATTTATCTTAACTTTCCATGCTTTCTATCTGCAGATGGGAAGGTCAGCTGGTTTCAGCTTAGGGGGTACATATTCGTCACATCGAGCACAACAGCAACAGCATGCACCTACGGTCAGTAGTGGCAATGTCTCTTTTTCATCTGTTAACAACCAGGATCTTCTCCATCTGCATGGATCAGATATTTTCCCATCTTCACATTCAACCTATCATTCACAGGTGTGCAAGTTTTATATGTGAAAAGGGGAGCTTGTTTCGTAATAAATAATCCCTTCTCCCGTTCCTCTCTTTAGTTTATCTCTTATGATGAGGTGCTCACTGAAAATGAAATCCCAGCGAAAGAAGTATTGCTTTGTTCTGACATTCTAATTGCTTTTGTATTGTGGTTTAGACCAGTGGACCTCCTGGTATTGGATTAAGGCCTTTAAATTCTCCAAATACAGTTTCTGGTATGGGTTCATACGACCAGCTTATCCAACAATATCAACAGCATCAGAACCAGTCTCAATTTCGCCTTCAAATGTCAGCTGTAAATCAATCTTTTAGGGATCAGGGCATGAAGTCTATTCAAACCACACAATCTGCACCAGATCCATTTGGTCTGCTTGGCTTGTTAAGTGTGATCAGGATGAGTGATCCTGACCTGACATCTCTTGCTCTTGGAATTGATCTTACTACACTGGGATTAAATTTGAATTCATCCGAAAATCTTCATAAGACCTTTGGTTCTCCCTGGTCTGATGAACCAGCTAAGGGTGATCCAGAGTTTAATGTGCCACAATGTTATTATGCCAAACAGCCACCTGCTCTACATGTGAGATTTTTACATTATGTTAAATTTTGAAACCTTTTCTTTGGGCTAATTTTTTGTTATTGCACGATGCAGCAAGGTTACTTTTCAAAGTTTTCGGTGGAAACATTGTTTTACATATTTTACAGGTGCCTTTAAAATCTGAGTATCACTTATTTTTCATTGACTTGCTTGGTATTTTATAATCAAATATATAAATAATCTCTTTTGCAGCATGCCCAAAGATGAAGCACAGTTATATGCCTCCAATGAGCTGTAAGCACATCTCCCCCAATCTGTCCTTTTAGTTTCTTTCGTTGTTTTTGGATTGGTTTTAGCTTATTTGTAATTTGTTTTGGGGTTAGATAATTTGGGAACAGTTAGACATGTGGATTTTAAATAATCCATGAATAGTACATTAACCACTTATCTAGTTTCAGTGTTCCTAAATATTTTGACAAAATCCTATGTTTTGATTCCCTGAAACGGTTTTCCCAATTCGATAGTTTCTAATGGAATAGGGGTTGTTGCTCGCAGTTACAACAGAGGTTGGTTTTATCACAAAGAACATCGTTTGTGGTTTATAAGAGTTCCCAACATGGAGCCGCTGGTTAAAACAAACACATACGAGAGAGGATCTTATCACTGTTTCGAACCAAGCATATTTGAAACCGTCCGCAAGGTTAGTTTTTGTAAATATTTTGCTCTATCGGTGGTGTTTGTGAACTCTTCCTCCTGTTCTCAAGATATATTATTTTATTACCCAATAAGTTTTCTTCTATTTTTAGGCTCTAATGTACAACCTCCTTGCAGGATAATTTTGTTCTGCATTATGAAATGTTGGAAAAGAGACCACATCTGCCTCAACATTGAGGAGGAAACAAAAAACTTTATTGTAAAGTTTCGATTATGGATTTAATGCCTTGGAGTCATTTTGCAGCATTAGTATTCAATTTGCCGTCTCTTCCTATCCTGTTGCTTTAGTGATCCAAGCTATTATTATTATTATTAGTATTATTATTATTATTATTATTATTTTCCCTGACTTAAAACGGACAATAATTATGATACATAGGATAACCTAGCTTTCTGACAAATATGGTTTTTTGCCCATTAGCTAATGCACAGGAAAAACACCTGAATTCAAGATAGATGTACTGTAATAATTTATCTTATCTGATAGGATCAGAGATCTTAAAAATGGACTGGTGGGGAGCAAAAATCAGTAGCTGACAAAATTTTTTGAATTGATTATTTGAAGATCTTTTCACTTGTACAAAAATAGTTTATAAATAAATGAATGTTTATGCATGAATTTTGAAGTACGAGTTTTTATTATCTGCTTATTTATCATGAATTTTTCATCTTGTTAGGCATGTTGTATAATATTTTATAATTTTATTTACTTTTTTTAATAAATTTATATCAGGTTTATTTCTTACCATATTATATTATATTTAACATGTAATCATTGGGACTAAAATATGGTTGAATTAATGGATACTGTGTATTTATTATATAAGTTTGAATTTGAAAAAAAAATGGTTGTGACTAAGTGATAGGGATTTTGAATTAGTTTGTTTAGAAAATATAATAGTCTATTTTTAGCCCTTATGTAAAAGCATTTGAATAGAATATATGCAGATTATACCACCCTCTTCTCACTGGAAAACAATGTGCATATTATTTTTATCTTGGGGTCTATTAGTATATTATTGCATTGGTGAGGGTGTATAGTCTCTGATGTGTTGTAGTGTACATGAAAGCAATGTGTATTATGGCATTACATGCTAGTAGTCTAGATTTAAAGAAAAATCCATTGGCCAAAGCTTTGAATGCCGTAAAATTTATGCTGTATGGGTCGAGAACGATTGTATTGCACGAGATTACTTTCAAATTGTTAGACCTCGTCACTGCCTTTCTTCCTACCCTTTCATTGTCATTGACATTTGAAGTTCTCCTATCATTGGCTACTTGTTTCTAGGGGTCTCATTTTTGCAAGCCGAGTTGACTTTAATTGAATCAATTTTAAAATTTTGAATGTAATTGCGGTAGATGTTTAATTTTAGCCAGATTTTACATTGAAAAATGTGCAGTTTTCTAGAAATTGCGTGAAACAAGTAGGCCATGGATTTGTGATCGCATTTTGAAATTTCTTCTACCGAGCATATGGTTGTTGGTTCTGGTTCCATTTGCTGTCATTGCATCGAGGTTCTGTAAACAAATCAAAGATGAGAGCGAGTGATATCAGATGGTGAATGATCCAACTAGTATTTTTGTGGCTCGAATTGGATGGTTAAATAGCATTCTAGATTCCACCTTAATAGTGCATTAAGGAATGGTTCCAACTGTAAAGATTTAACTCGAGCCATTTAATTATGAGAATATTTGTCATCAACCAATGAGCGTCGATGATTTTAAGGGTAATAGCTCCCACTGTCCTTAAAATTTTAACTGATTATACTTGACATTCCTTTTTTATGTGGAAATTACTCATCTAAATTACCTATTCTGTTTAAAAGATAATATTAGTTAAATTTTACTTGAGGTAAGGGTGACATGAAACTAGAGAAATGTTCGAGTGAAGTAAAGGAAATGTTCTTTGTTGTGATTGCAGAGTAAAAGAAGAAAGTTGTTTGGAGTGCAGCTACATTAACGAGGAAAAATAAAAATAAAACGATTTTAGAAAATATAAATTAAAATATATATTTATTATTTAATATAAAGTAGATATAAAACTGTATAAAAATATATATATATATATATATATATATAAATATTTTATAAAAAGAATAAAAAAAATAAATCTGAAATTGATATATATAAATTTTATACGTCTAACTTGATGAGAGATTTAGAAAAAAATTATCTGAGACAACCTATACTATATTAGTTAATTGACTTTTATAATGAATCATAAAAAATTTTAGAATTTTTTCTTTTAACTTTTATTTGGTAAAGAATTTATCCACTTCAACATATTTTGTTTAATCATGTTGTACTAGATTATGAACAATATCATAAACAATTTTATTGTCATAATATAACTTAATGTATTGTGCAAATAAGTATAAAAGATCTTACAAGATGAATTTTAACAATAAACCTTCATATATTTCAAAAGACAAACCTTTATATTCAACTTCTATACTTAGATATTATATTATATTATCTTCCAATTAACCAACCTAATCAATATTGATATATACATCTATTTGTTGATAATTTATATTTTTGGTAAACAATAATAATTTTCTATGTGATGACTTTAGATATCTTAAAATGTAGATAAGTGTATTCATGTGTACATAAGGAGAATTATGCATAAATTGACTGACAAGTATTTAATGCATAGGTAATATCTAGTCTTAAATATATTAATCTTTATACAAATCTTTTATATCTAAATTCATCATTTGGAATTTGATCAATTTAAAACCTTCTTCTATTGGCGTATTAGTTGATCGATAAGTTGACATACTTATGTCTTGTAATAAATCTAAGATTATTTTTTTAGACAAAAATATTTCTTTCTTGGATATAAATATTTTAATCCTTAGAAAATATTTCAAGGGACCAAAATCTTTCTTTTTAAATTTCTTTAATAAATACTCCTATAATGTTTTACTTTCTTGATGATTATTTCTTATAACAATCATATCATCCACATATATAATAAGTGTAATAATTTTACCTTCTTTTTACTTCGAAATAAAATATGATTTGAATTACTTTAATGATATCCACATGTTGTCATAAATATTATAATCCATATAAATATTTTTTTCAATTTACATACTTTTTTATTGTTTGTTAGATACCATGCAACCTGGTAGGAGTTCAATGTACACTTTTTTAGATAATTTTCAATGTAATAATGCATTTTTTTACATCAAATTACTTCAATAACCAATCTAGATTTGCTACTAGAGATAATAATACTCAAAAATATTAATTTTTGTTATAGGACCAAATGTCTCGTGTAATCAATTTTATATGTCTGAGTATATCTTTTTATCACAAATCTTATCTTGAATCATTCTATTGTGTCATCCGTTTTGTTTAACACTGCAAATCCACTTATATCCTACTAGTTTCTTTCTTGGTGAACAATAAATAAGAATCCAAGTATCATTCTTTTGAAGTGAGTTCATTCCCTCATTCATAGTGACTTTCCATCTTGGATCAGTTAAAGTTTTCTATAAATTGTTAGGGATATTTGTAACATATAACTGATTCATAAATATTTTACTTTTTTATGACAATCTATGATTAGATAGATAGAGACTCATATGATATTTAACTTTACTAGAGAGTTTTGGTTCATAAGTAAATTTAAGAATACCTTTAGTATGATGATTTGACAAGTGTTTGTAGCCAACAAATGATTGATAACATCTTCACTAAAAGGTTCATATGGTACTTCAATATTATCTCTATTTAGAGGTTCATGTAAAACTTCAATGTTATCTCCACTAAAAGGTTTATGTGGGACTTCAATTTTATCTCCAACAAGATATTCATTAGAAACTTCAATATCATCTCCCATACAAGATTCTTGACATGATCCAATATTAGTTTCTTCTTATCTCCTAAAGCATGGTAATATGAAATTGCATCATTTAGATTCATATTATGTTCTAGAGTCGGGGTTGTATACTCTAGAGTCGTGATTGTATACTCTAGAGTATGAATTTCTTGTATTTCTTATTGGTTATCTACCTTAAAATCAAATTCAAAGGAAAAAACATTGTGTGTTCATGGAAAACGACACTCATTATTATATACATATGATGAGTAAACGGATGATAACACCTATATTCTTTTTTATGTACAATATATTTGACAAAAATACATCAAATAGTTCGTGGGACCAACTTGTTGCATTGATGTTTATGAAAATGAACAAATGCAACACATCCGAATACATAAGGAAGTAAATTAGAAATTACTAAAGTAACAATTAAATAACTATAGAGAGTTTCAAAAGGTGTCTTAAACTCATTATAATACAATGACATCACACCTTTATCAATGAAGTACAAATAACTTTGAACAAATGTCAATTTTTCTCTCAACAATCCTATTTTATTGCGGTGTATTGAGACAAGTAATTTGATTAATTATTCCATTAGCCTCTAAATATTGTTGAAATTCACAATTTTTTTACTCCTCACCATTATCACTATGTAAAAATCTGAATCTGAGCATTACATTGAGCTCTTACCATTGTTTTAAAAGTTTTAAATAATAAACTTACCTCATTTTTTTATTTCATTAAGTACAATTAAGTCATTCTTATACAATCATAAAAGAAAGTAATAAACTAGTGAAATTAACCTAAAATTTGGATTTTAGATGGATCCTACCCATCAAAATGTATCAGTACGAAAGGTTGAAGATTTTTATTTAAAATTAATAAAAATGAAGGTCGGTGACTCTTCGCTAGTTTACAAATATTATAATTAATATTAGAAACATCACTTAGATAAATACTGAAATGAGGTGTAACCAAGATGTCAATGTGACAACCTGATTTAGATATTTTATTTTCTCCCTTGAAATTATCAATATTTAAAACTTGTTTTGACTTATTTGATTTTTTTGACAAATCTAAGTAATAAAAGTGTTCTCTCCTATTACTATAACCAATTGATTGTTTTATTTAATGCCTTTAAGAATAAGAGTCAAATAAACAAATTATGGCACAACATAAATCAATTGTTAATTGAGAAACAAATAAAAGATTATAATTTAAAGAAGAAACAATCAAGATAAAATCAAGATTTAAAGTATTTGTAAGATTTAAAAATCCTTTTTCAATAATTAGGGCTTGGTTTTCATTTCTAGTAAAAACAAATTTTTGTGTAGAT